GCGGCGGGCGCTCGCAGGTCAGGAGGCGGCTGCGCCGGTGGCTCCCCGCGTTCCTGGCTCTCGGCTGCTGGGCGCCCCACGCCATGTTCTCGGTGCTCTCCTATGGCAGGCTGGTGGCCCGGGCAGTCCTGGGCGGCCTCTCGCAGACGGACTCCCGTGACTACAGCTTGGTGACAGCCAGCTGTGGCTTTGGCAAAGATTTCCGTAAGGGCATCCTCAAGAAAGGCATGTGCTACGGGGATGACGCCTGCTTCGTGGCCCGGCACCGGTCGGCAGATGTGCTGGGTAAGTGCTGGTGGGGCCCTGCTCGGGGGTGCCGAGGTGGCTTTGGCGTCGTGACCTCCCCTCCTTGAGCCGCACATGGCGAAGCGGCTCAGCCTTCAGTCACAGACAAAGGAGCCGGTTCCGCCTGTAAATGTCAGCGTGATTTCTCTCTTTTTAGTTTCAAAAGAAAGCCCTCGTCCTCTTTGCTGCAGCACGACGCGCACCTCGCTCAGCCTGCCTTTGGGATGGGGTGGTGTGGGTGCCAGGCACCAGGGCCCACCCTTGGCGTTTCACCTGGGCTGGCCTGTAAGGCTCTAAAAACCAGAGAAACAGCTTGTAGTGCATTTAACTTTCCGCGTGCCTTTAAAACCTAACCAAGTTTGGCGTATACATATGACATTTCCACAGAAAAAATCATTGAAACGGAGACTTCCTGATTTCGGTGCGTGCTGTGTCCTTGTCAAGTGAAAGGCAAAGTGACATTGAGACTGGTTTCAAATGTCAAACTTCAATTTCAGTATTTGTTCTACCCTGTTTGCACTCTCTGGTTTGGATTCACGTGCAAAATGGATCTTAAAGAGTTCAAATTTTAGAAGTAGTGAATAATTATAGGTAATCAATGGAATCTTCAGTGTATGAGCAGCAGTGCTTTTGACAGTGCTTGACCTTTCTCCTGTGTAGTCAAGGTTGAATGTGACAAACTGACCCTCTGCAAAAGTTAGTTTTAGAACAACTGACAGAAGTAAATCTTCACCAAAACTTTGTCGTTAAAAAAAAAAAAGCTTCCTCTCTGGCCTCTCTGTGTTTTTTTTTTTTTTTTTTTTTTTTTTTAATTTGAAACTGGTGGGGTTGCACTGCAGTGCCTCATGATGTGACAGTGCCTGGTGATTCTTCAGAATTTGGTGCTGTCATTGTAACTTGGTTGCTGTTTAATATAGCTGAGACACTTTTTCAGGAAGCTGTAACTTGGTGCCAGGTAACAATATTGTTGATTATTCTTAATGCTGCAGCTTTCAATGAGATGTGCAAAACTGGTCGATGCACCTTAGATACTCTATGTCTTTTCTGTTGTGCCTGTTCCAGAAAAACTTTTTTTTTTTCTATTAGAATTAGCTGTTGGACAACCTTCCTTTAACATGTGACTAAGGCTGGCTGCCTTTAAAGTTCATACTAGGCCAGCACTGATAAATAACTGAGCAATCAGTATTTGCCCGTAAGAGAAATGCAGAATCTGCTTTGTTTAGGTGGACTCTTTGCATGGGAAAACTTAATGTTTAGGGGCTTTTGGCCATATTTGGTAATTGCCATATGTGGACCTACAGCTTGTCTTCCTGCTGGAATCAACGGAGAATTGCATTTCTAAGTTGGGACTTTGCATGAATTTTCACGGCAACTTGAAAACAAATGGACTTGTAGCTCTACTTAAGAATCAAACAGAGAAGGCTTCAGAGCAGAATGTCTTAAGTACCAAGAAGAAAATAATTTGAATGTAAAAACTGGGGGCTTGCTTTCTTGTAAGACTGTTTTCATGTTGGTTCTTTACCGCTTTTCTAATATACATACCAAAAACCCAAGGTCAGTGTGCATTCTGCAAACTGTAAGGCTCAGGATGGGTTTTGATGCAATCTAACGATGCTTTTTCTTCATCTGTAGTTCTTAAGTTTACAGACAGTAGTTTTTTCCTTGTTTCTGCTACTATGATCCCCTCTCTGCTCTCCCTTTCTCAACCAGCTCTTACTCACTGCTGCAGAGTTTCAGCACCAGTGTTTTCCTGCCCTCAATTCCTCTTGCTCTCATCACACATCTGAGGTTCTGTACCTATTTTTTTAAAGACCCTCATAAGTTTTGTACTGTTCAATACCTGCCTAACTCTGCACCTCAACAAAACTGTCTGAGCTGAACTGTTGCTTTTAAAGCTTTTTTTTTTTTCAGTATTAGTTTATTGAAGAGGCTCATGTGGTTTTAGCCAAACACTAGACACAGTAAGAGTGCTTTTAGAGAACAGTAAATTTCAAGTGTATCACTTAGTCTGCCCAAGTAGTCATCAGTGAGAAAGCAATGCTGGATAATTAATTTAAAATTCTTCTGTGCCAGTCTCTTCTAGAACCAATTTATGGGAAGCATGCCTGTGTGGGATGGATATGGGTGTGGTGTAACAGTGAAAGAGCTACTCCCAGCCGTTTGGCATGAGTGCTTGGGGATTCATTTTCTTAGGTCAAACAAAAGTTGACTAGGCGGTGTGTTTATAGCAGATACAAAAATGCTAAACGCTTCTTTTGTTATGTGTATGCTGTGTAGTCTAAAGGCTGAAAGTGTAACAGTGTCTTCTAGTCCCGTGCTGTATCTTCTCATAGGAAGATTAACAGAAAGCTTATGAATATTTGGGTTGTTTCCAGTCCTCCCACTGTTGTTAAAAGCTTGATAAGGCCTGTTACTGGTGTACCCGAATCCTTGGGGTTTTTGTCTTTTATTTTTACTTTTGTATGGGATGTACCTGTTAAATTTGCATGTTCTCTGCCCAGTCTGAGCACAGGGAGAAAAAAAGAAACTCAGGACCAGAGTGATTCCTCTGAGAAAAGGAAATGGCTTTACTACTACTATTAATCTCTAGAATTTTGTGGTTCAGGCCTGTGTTTCCTTTTTGCTGCTACTTGTACGATGTTGTACCTTTCTGTATGCTCACCATCAGTGTCTTGGTTGTCCAGATCCTCAGAATATTCAAATATCTTCTTGAGACTTAGTAGATGTTATGTACTACTTCACATCTGAAGCCATACCTTTGTAACTCTTGCAGACAGAAATAGTTTTTCAAAGCTGAAAACCAAAACTTTAAGAAACTGACACCTCTGGTTTTTCCTAATTAGCTCGCGAGTCGAATTTTTAGTGCATAGGGAGCAAAATGCAAATTTTTAGAATGAACTTAAACACTTTATATAAACATTTCACTTATTTAACAAAGCTAAACTTTGAAGCTCGTTTATAAATTTTGAGATGTCTCATCCTGGTGATGTTTTTTTTATTGTCGGGATCTGCCTTTTCTTGCTCGTTCGTGCCTTATCAGGCTCTTTGCTAGTTTTTTTATGGATTTTCCAAGCTGTTGTGTGACTCATTATTGAAACATTACAGCAACCAATGTGCATCCCGTGACAGCATCACTTATACAATGTCTGTGCTGGGTAGAAGTTTGGGTGTAGCCAGTGTGACTTGACTAGTCTTCCAAACTATTCCTGTCCCCCAGCAGTAGTAGGAAAAAACTGTCTGACAGCAGGGTACTGTTTGTCCACTGCAAAGTTAAAATCTGGCAGCTGTTCTATCTACTGTGAATCTTGATTTTTAATTTATTTTTTTGAGGGAGGGGAAGGGTATTGTAGGGCATCTACTCTAATCTGAGAGGAATTGCACTTTATTTGAAACTGAAGTTTGTCAGCAGCCCGCATAGGAGGTGTGTAAATCCCCTCTGGAATATTGTTGTTAAGAAGAGTAAACTACAAAATGTAAAAAGATTTGTAGATAAAATGTCAGGGTTGTTCTGGCAACTATAGAGGAGGAAGGGATTCCTACTCGGATGCCTGAAGGTCATACAAGACTATGTTAACTGGTTTATTTGGTAGCACACCTATTAAAGTTTAGATTGCTGCCTTATCACAACTTATCACACTAAAGGAGGCGAGTCATCTGCTTGTTTCAGAGTGGCCTTTTACCTACTCTGCTGGGAGAACTCAGGACATCTTAGAGGGTGTAATGAGTGATTTGAAAAAAAAAGAATTGTCTATGTGTCTTAGTTTGTAATAGACCAAATGAAATTTTCTTTCTAACATGGGAGCATGAGTGCTGTCATTTGCAGAGAAACTACAGATTGAGAAACACCCCCATTACCAATCATATTCACTGTCATTCTTTTCAGTACAGCTAATCCAGATGTCAGCAGAGCTGTTCTTGAGTAGCACCGAATGTAACCTCTTAAAAATGTGGTAGCTCTCCTGAGAGTGAAGCTAAAATCTGGTTACTTGTCTTTACCCCAGTTTCTGGAAGGGCATTGCACACAACACATTCTGATCAGAACTTGTATTGAACACTTGGTTTAATTGTAAGTGCTATTGATACTTGCTGATAGTGGATAACTTTTCATTCATACGGAGATCTTGGCTTGAACAAAAAGCGGGTTCTGTCAGAAATCGCAGAAGGAAATAAGCCAAGCTGAACACAGTGCAGTAGGTGAGGTGTTAATCATACCTATGTCGCAGGAAACGTTGCAAAAATCTCCTTGCTGCTTGCTTTGGTTCATTTGTGCTATGAAGAGCCTGAAATTATTCAGACTGCAAGTGATTTCAGTACAGTTTGGCTGATGTCTGTCTACAGTACCTATCCCTTCTCATCACATGAAAATAAGTTCCAGGGTTGCTCAACACCTTGAGAGACTAAATAGTTATAACTCTGGAGGGAAGGTTTTACAAAACTCGCAGAAATAAATAATAGTGTTCTCCTGTAGCTCCCCAAATCCTCTGAGTGATTTCTCAGGTTTAAATAAAATGTGAGAGATCTCTCTGGTAAAAATCTGTTTCAGGAGCAACAGTGTATTGTAGCAGGGGGTTAAAAAAAAAAAATAGAAGGAACTGCTGCTTTTCCCTCGAAGTAGATGCACAATTTAATGTGTTCAGTTCCTTGTTTCTCTTTCAGCTTGTTCTTCAACATCATCTCTCGCTTTGCCTCTTCCTTTGTGTTCCTCAGGATCACTTAGCCAGTTATTCTTGCAGTACCCTTCTATTTCATGCAAGGGTAGTTTAAGGTCTACTGTAACTTTTAAAATGCACAGTGTGAATGAGTAACCTTTCCTTTTGTAACTAGTTATCGGGCGCACACAATCTGCCTTTAGGGATTTGTATTTAACCGGGTTATTTCTTTGTCAAAACTGGGCGGGGGGGGGGTAACACACCATTTGGCTATAGCACTGTGATCCCGTGCGTGCCGCTGGTGAAGCGGCTGGGAGTTAGTCCTGGCTTTGAGCGTGTGACTTGCTTTGGTTGGAGAACCTATCTACGTGTGTGATTTATCTTATTGCTGATAAACTGATAAGATTTCTCGGTTTATCTCAGTTCTGATGTGTTGACAGCTATCAGGCGCTGTATTTCAAACGTGTAGGTGCAACAGGTTGCACTTTGTTACCATTTTAGCCTTTCTTCTATGTTTGATGCAAAATAAATTGTCACAAATACATCCTTTTGATGTTTTTTTTATCAGTGATTCATTGCTAGTTCACTTTAAGGATCTCAAGAAATTTAAGGTTCAGTAGGATAAGTGGAGTTTCTTCCAGAGTTAATTGTGGTTGCGTGCAATGCAATTCCTGCTGGCACTCGTGCCTGCCTGGTGCTTCTGTGTGTGACTTATTATTCTTAGCTGATGCAATGTTTGAAGGTATCCATTTTCCAAGAGATTTTGGGGACAAGGTGATACTTCTGGATTCTGACCATGGGCAGGTTAGTTTGCTGGCTGGCTAGAACATCCGCTCGTAATGCTATTTATATTAAATAGGGTTTGATTAGTCTCGTGGTCTTGTTCCGAACTTTAAGCTGGTTTAGTTTATATTTGCTCTGAACCAGATATAACATCTGGATCCGACTTACAAAAGTGTGTGGTGCAAAGCACATATGACTAGTCTCAGCGCTGGCTGTTCCCTGGGCTTCTGCAGTTAACCTGATGTGTTGGCAGTCAAACAACTTTACGTTTGCATTTCAACTGGTATTTTATTTCAAGTGCTTTTAAGCATTTTGAAATAAATTTTAACAAGTTTCAGTGCCCGTATTTTCCCTTGCTCAGTTTCAGTGCTGCAGCATCAGTCACTGGTGCTTTGCCTTGAAACTTGGTTACAGCCGTTTCCATGAGAGATCTTGATATACCGAATCTTTAAGAAGTTAGAAAGAGCCAGTTTTTGGACTGACACATGCAGCGAGTATTTAATCTGGCAGTAGTGTTTGTGTATTTTCCAGCAGAAGGCAATGTAGTGGAGTGTTAACTCTCAATGATTCTGGAAGGACTTTATGGTTAAATACTTGAGAAGCGTTTACTCTTTTGAAGTAATTTATTGTGAAATTTTAAATTGCTTTATTTACAGCGATGGTTCATCTAGCCACGGGCATTTCCATATGTCACATGGACATTTGTGCAATTTCTACATAGGCTTGAGTGGGGAATAGCCAAAGAAATATTCTTTCTATAAAACTTTCTGATTTACTGAATACCTTAGGAAAAAAAAAATATCAAGGATTGTGTACGATTCAATTTCAGCAGTTTTTCTCAGCCATGAGTTTCTGGACCTTTAAGACAAATTGCATATTTTGTAAGATGGGTATTTTAAGTTAAACGGTGAATACTGGAAGACTGAATATTTATGGATTTTTTTTTTTTTGATCTTAGTTTAAAGCAAAGATAATATAAATGAATAGAGCTTGCCATTACTCCTTGGCAATGATACTGCCGGTTGTAGTACCTCTGAATTTTCTTTTGGTGCAGGGGGAAATGTGCTATTGCAGAAAAATTAGTCCCTTTTTGAGTTGAGTTTTCAGTTCTTGCTAATTGTGCTCTCACAGATAGTTTTGCTCCTTGTTTGCCATATATCAAATACCACAAAGTTTTCTTAAACTTCACCCTCATTTACATTTAATCTATTTCAGTAGCAGTTTGTTCAGTCCCTTTTAAAACCACGTATTCCTTTCCCATAAAACTGTTCAGTTTCTGTTGAGAATGTAGAATGTAACGATAGAGTTTTTATTTTGAGACCTGGCTGAAGGTAGGCTCTTAGGGAGTATAAAAATCTTTTGAGGCGCTGGTTATTCAAGGTGAATGGTTTTTTTAGGCGACGCTGTGTGGCATAGGGCTTCTTGAATGTGCTTTGCCGATGTGCTGCCATTGATCTCGATGGCAGCAGTAATTCCTGGCTCTGTGCCGGAGCAGGAGGAAGCATTTGGTTGCTCTGGCAGTGCTCGTGAGCCACGCTTTGGGAGCCAACAAGGTCATTTAGCCTAATTAAATTCACTGACCTATCATCTTTAAGAGATACAGTTTAAAAAGAAAAAGAAGAGCGGGGGGAAAAAACCCAAACCTTTGCAAGAAAACCAGCGTGGTCCATTCTGGGCAAGGATGAGAAATAGATGCCAGTGGTGGTCCCTGAGTTAGTGAGCTGCTGTGAGGGGTCATGGCGTGTGTCCTGGGGCCTGCTGGTGAATGTGGTGGCCCCGCTGGCTTCTGTGCCAGCCGTGGAGAAGGAATGCACGACTCTCCTGGTGATTCTTACGCAGACAAGCTGTTCTCTTAAGTGTGGTACAAAGCTAAGTCATAGGACCTACTTGTGGACTGTCTAGAAGATGATTGTTTTTGGAAGGCGCTGGCAGAATGTACTTAAAGCTGTTTATAGCTTGCAAAAAAGCAGACAGGAAGGCAGACAGACAAAGCCATTTAATGGCTCAAGATAGTGTATGAAGTATGCTGCCATGCTTACGGCTTCCAATTTCCTGCTTGGAGGAAGAAGTGAGCAAAGAAAATCGGGGGGCATACTCTTCTCTTTGCTTTAAAAATTGAAATAGGTTTTGACAATGAACCTGATCAGGTGCTTGCTATGACAGCTCTCTCGTACTCTATACTAAAGCCATAGTGTTTCTATTTAAATATTTCTCAAGGAGGCTAATGCAAAAATGGTTTATTGATCGCTTGAGGAACTCTTCTGATGAGCTTGTTTTGTAACTGCCAGAGGAGCCAAAAGCTTTGGGCAGTACTTGTCAAACATCATCTTTTCATTGCATTAACCCCGTTGCCAGCTGAATACAGCCACTGCTTCGCTGACAAAAGTACATCTGGACTGCATTCGTCTTAAAAGGAGAAAAGCTGCTCATCTGGTAACATCATGTATAACAAGCATCATCGCCCAGACTGAAGCTTGATTTCTATTTCAAGTTCTAGATCTAGAACTTTTCCTTCATAATCTCTTATTCTGGATTTAACTGCGTGGCAGCGGAAAGCAAAGGGTTAATCCAGTATTAACCTGAAGTTGTTGGACCTGTAAAGAGAGGATTAGTTTGTTCTTGAAAAAACAGAAAATGCATTTCCGAGAAGGCCAGGGTGCTTTTGCATGAGCTTCTTCCCAGGATGTGGTCTGAAGAGGTGAATACAGGGCTCTGCCTTCCTATAGAGTTCTTCTAAGAAAGCAAACAGACAAAGCAGGTGTCTAAAAGGTTGTGCACTATTTTTGGGAGAAATCTGATTAATGTTGATAGGCTGTTCAGAATCTGGCTATAACCTCCTGTCAGATTATAGTTCGTGCCAAGGTCGGCTCTAAACCTTCCGTCTCAGTTTCAGATGGCGTCCGATGTGAAGGGCGTTTGTAGATGAGGCCAACTTAGTTTTACTTAGTCAAATTTTCATGCCTTTGCTAGTAGCGGCAATTTTTCTGAGGAGACTGTTGTTCTTCAGCACAATCCGAGCTCTGAAATTGGCTCTTTGTGCTTTTACCATGGACATACTATTTCAGCGTCGTTACGTTACAGAAGTCTGAAATGGTTAGTCCCTTACACGCTGAGGATCAAAAGGATTTTTGGACAATTTTCCAAGGAGAAATATTTTTGTCTCATCAGTAATACCTTCAGACAGCATTTTACTTTTTATCGTTAAAACCAGCTGAGGAAACTCAAAATACTTTAGCCACATGGTCAGCAGAATATTGTAGCTGCTGCTCATCTCCCTCTGACCACCCCCCTTTTTTTTATGTGCAGCTTCACTATTTGTCTCTGTGGTTGCTCGGAAGCTTCCCAAGCTTTGGCAGAACGGGTCTGATTTTCTGATATCTCTGTTGTTTTGAATCACTGAAAATTAACTGGATCATACTCAGTTTTCATGCTCTCGCTTGGCTGAAGCTGTAGGCGCAAGCTGTCCTTGGAAGGGATAGGTCCCAGCGTTGTGTTGGTTACGTTATTTTTTTTGAATACGCTTTTAAAATGCAAGTTTACTTTCTACAGAAATTGATATTGCCAAATAGAAAACTTTATCCTTCATATGAGCAAATCGCTTGAGGAGAAACTTTGGGCCGCTGAAGAGCGGGCGAGAGTTTCTTGATCATTTCTATACTATTTAAAATCTTAACAACCTTCAGATTTACTAAGAATGCTTCTTTTTAATGGGCTAATTAAAGGTCAGTGTGATTGAATTCCCCTCTTCTCCCCCGAATTCCCATTTACTTGTTCTCTAGTGAAGTCAGCTGCCTCAGTTCTCAGCAATTCAGATTATATTTAGAGATTTGTCTGGGAGCTGATGTCAGAAGTTACCTTACAAATGCTTAGAAATGTTTTTATTCTTAATCAAATACGTTTTCCACGCAGGTGCTATGTCCCTACTTCTTAGTTAACCGAATATCGTAAGTAATGTTAAAAAGTAAACCTCTTGTTTTGGAAACCATTTTTGTTCATATAACTCTTTTTTTTTTTTTTTTTTTTTTTTTTTTTGTGTAGGTGGCTGGAGAGACTATGGGGTTGACCCTTCACAGTTCTCAGGGACTCTAATGCGAACATGTGAACGTTTAGTAAAAGAAGGACGGTTTGTACCAAGTAATCCTGTTGGGATTCTCACCGCAGGTTATTGTGAGCTGCTGCAGAACAAAGTACCTTTGCTTGGTAAGAGAGTGAAAATACATAAACTGAGATCTCTGTTATAAGTTTTCTAGACTGTGCTTAGTCAAGGTTGCTTAAATCTCTTGTCAGCTTCTACAATAAGTTTGCATGCAGTTATCTTCTTTTAATTAACCAAAGAACATAGAAATGTAGTTGTCCTGGTAGCATCCTTATTTTCTCTTGTATGTTTAGAAATTGTCTTGATTCATTCAGTAATGCAGGGAACATTTGTGTGTGTATATGTTTATAAAAAAATAAATGGCAGGCAGCCTTTCTGTGTGAAGGGTGGTAATTCAGCAGTGCTTGCAGAGAGTTGGCAAAATGAGTTGTGCAGTAGAATATGCTACGGCATGTGCACTCCTTCTCTATTTTGTGTGTATAAATAACTGTTTTCTGTTGAAAACTTAATGGTTGGTTGTGGCTTTTTGCTTAAGCTGTGCAGGCAAAAACATTTTCTGATGATAATTGGATGCAGTTCTGCTCATTTCTTGCCTTACTGCTCCTATTGCCTTTTATGTCCAATGAACTTTAAACCGAATTGGTTAAGTAGTTTATATCATACGCTCACTGGTACCGTATATTATTTTTATAATTCTTTGTGGGGCATTCATTACAGATTTTTTCTGAAAGCAAATAAAGTAGATGCTGAGCATTTTCTGTGTCAAACGATTTTAGACAGGGCATTCAGCTGCCTGGGGAACGGTGGGCAGATAGAGGCAACATTTGGCCTCAGCTGACAACCCTGAAAGTAGAATAGTTTTCCAAAGGGCATATGACCTCTTATGCACCAAGAAAGTGTTACCCTGCATGATATGCATGCTTCTCACCTGACCTTAAACTTCTGTGCCAGAAGAGTGCTGTGTAAGCTATATTTAACTTGTCTGCTGAGCTTCGGAACAGATGTTCTCACATTATATGCCTAAAGAATAGGTTTGAACCTCAGAAGTGACCTTAGGTATCACTAAAATAGCAGTGCTTGGTAATTACGTTAGCATTTTGTGGGTTTAATAGGGCTTGTTTGAGCAAAGCAGATGTAGCTCTAAGTGATCTACGAAGTGGGCCACTGGTGAGAGCTCTCTCAACGGCTTTGGAGACGGAGGCAGCCCTGCTTGGCTTGACCTTTCGAATTCTGAAAAGCAGCATATGCTGAGTCACAAGATCTGCATTCCACACATGGCCTCCTGGTTACACTCTGCTAATAGAGTTAGAATTTGAAACTAATGATCCTTAGTGTTTCTCCTTTAACCGAGAACGGTATTTTCAGAAGCAGAAGTAAAACCCTGGAATTACGACAGCAGTGAGCATTTAGAGTTTGTGCAAAATAAAGTGAAGGGAGAAGACCTCATTAAGGAGGATTCATTAGGCAGGAACTTTCCCTTGCTGTTGTGCTTTTAAGCCTTGATAGTTCATCAGAACTGATTCTAGCAAATAGCTTAAACCAAAACTCAAATGGGAGGAAACTGCCATTTATTTAAAGACAGTTCTTGTATTGCAGAGCAGTCTTGGATGCTGTCACATATAAAATCTGAGTATTTCCTAAGATGCTGCTTTGACTTACCCTTCAGCAAGAGCGGAGAAGGTCCCATGTATTCACTAGCGAGCAAATTAAGTGCAAGTGTACTGCAGGGAACTCCCAGTGTTAGAAAGGGAAACATCTGGAAGAGGGGATGTCTGAAGCCAGCTGGACTTCTGCACTAGCAGGCCTGATTGTAAGCTTAGCTCATTGCAAGCTTGTGGTCTGTCCAGCGTGTAGCTGTGCTTGGAAACTCCTACATCAAGATAGAAGATGAAGGCGCTTCACCAGCCGGTGATACGGGGTCTTCTGCTGGAGGCAGAAGTCTGTATTTCGCCCTCTTCAGGAATGGAAGCTCTTTTGGTGGATGTGCTCATCCTATTTGCAGAAATTCAGCGACTGCTCTTTGCTGTGAGGACTTAGTCCGGATCAGTATCTTTGCAATACAGTTATTTTCTGTGGCTTGCAACCAAGCACAGTTGGTGGCTGCTTCTCAGTGAATGAATCAAGAATTCCTCAGTGCCCTCAAGCATGGCTGGGATAGTTCTGAGCACGGTTGACAAGTAGATATGTTTCTGTTCTGTCTTTTAATCTGGAATAGTATTTATCTCTGAAACGTGTTTTCTTTAAACTTGTGAAGTTAGTATCCTGAAGATGTGGCTGACAGGATGATGATTTTTTTAAACATGAAGATAGCTCTACAGAGCCCTACTGTGAAGAAAGGCATTTTAATCTTCTGACAAGAGTAATGCAATAATACCTGATACTTAATTGCAAGCAGTTCTTTACTTGGCATGGTTTATTTACAGCTGATGAGTGAAACTGTGTGGAGAGCCCCTAGCATTGTACGGATGCTACTAGAATTCTATTATCTCAATGATTTTGGAATTTCAGTATTTTATGTGACTTCTGTAAATCCAGTCCTATAGCAGAATGTGCTGACATATGTTAGGATGGAAAACTGTAAATAAAGTGGAACAAAACAGGTATTTGTCAGCATAATGTGTTTACCAAAATCAAAGCAGGAAAAAAGTAAGTTCTATACAAAAATCATCATTTCTGTTGCAAAGATTTCTAGCATTTTGCTATCGTTAGTGTATATTAATTTTGGTATTACTGAGTATTTCCAGTTTCTCCTGACTTTTAAGCTTTGATAAATAGTTGAATGATTGGACTGTAAATCAAATCAGTGAAAGAACAAGTAATTTCTGTAAGGCTGACTCCGGTTACTGCATTCTGTTTGCAGGAAGCAGTACAGCCTGTATAGTAGTTCTGGACAGAACAAGTCATCGTTTACACACAGCCAACTTGGGAGATTCTGGATTTTTGGTAGTCAGAGGAGGAGAAGTAGTACATCGATCCGATGAGCAGCAGCATTACTTCAACACTCCGTTCCAGCTGTCAATAGCTCCACCAGAAGCAGAGGGAGTTGTCTTAAGTGACAGGTAAGATGGGAGAAGATCTTAAATTTTTAATTTGTGGATGTGATCAGCTCCCAAAAGGTTGCAGATTTGCAGCTGGGGTGCTCTTTGTAAAGCGCTACGTCGTGCGTGGGGATTTAAGTGTGTAACCAGTCAGAGGGGCTTATATCTGCCCCCCACCCTGTCTTTAGGTAATGGGAATGTCTCTCACCTTGAATTTAAACTTTGGACGCTGTTGCACAGTGTCTGAATTAATTGAGCTAACGATTCTTCATTCACGATGGCATATTCCCTGAGTCTGGTGTGTGCACTAGGTGTGTTCTGATCCGTGGAGAGACGTCGCTCTGTGAATTTGCTGTCGTGAGACTGGTGCCTGTGCTGGGCATCCTGCACGAGTGACTTGCCTTACCAGCAGCTTTCATTCCCAGGCCTTGTCTGGGCTCTCTCGAGGCTGGTTTGGAGTTTGGAGTACGCTGATTTAGATATCTTGGCAGTGAGGTAGCAAGTACTTGAAGAATAGAGCAGAGGGACATGTGACTGTAACTTGTATTTCCAAATAGCTATGTTGCCGGCAGCATATTGTATTTGACCAAAACGAGAAAAAAACCCAAAACCTGTTTGGCGGAACATCAAGCTGGGAAACGAGAGTATTAAGAAAGGACAATCTGTTCACAGAAATGAGTTGTTTCAAAAGGCAGACTTGTACTTGTGTCTTCCCCTAAGAATGTCAGGCTGACCATCTTCTCACTTTCTGAAGTCTCCTTGGAAATACAAAATTTAAAAAACAAATCAGCTTTCAAACATATATTAAAATAAGGTTCCAAAATAATGGTTATACACTCATTGAAGTGATAGCCCTCTTCTGAATACAGGAAGGCGATAAAAGGATCTTCAGAGGGTGACCACAGTATGCGGGGAATGCGACAGGCATCTTAAGTTTTTGATCCAAGGTTTGGACTTAATGACATTAATGGTCTTGCTACGTAAATGATTCTGTGATTCTATGAAGTATCAAGGCTGATGCAGTAAGGGATGACTTCGATGCCAAAATAGCTCTTACTGAAAGTGTAGGTTAAGTTGTTGAAACTCCTGACTGTTCTTGCATGTGGTTTTATTACTTCATCATAAGACTGCAGAGAGGAAGCTAAGGTAGAACTCTGAAATTAGAACTCTTAAATAATCTAACCTCTTCATTAGACTAAAATTAAATGATTGTTTGAAATGCCAGAGCTGTGAAATTCTTAATTTTTCCTGAGATTCTGTCGTCTATGGGAAGACAAAACCCCCGAAGCACAAGGATAATTGATAATGTCCAGTGGAAGTCAGAAAAGCAATCTGAGTCATCACATAATAAGGAAAGTGCAAGATAAATGTGCTCCCACACTTCAATTCTGAATCATGATTATAGCTTTCTGGCTAGTTTCTGCACTGTTCCTGACGTTAATTAGTACTCATACATGTTGTCTAAATGCTTTTTAGTCCTTTTTTTCTCCAATTTGTTGTCCCAGTTAAATGTTAAATTTGGCTATGTATGGGAACAGGCAGGCAATCTTTATTCACCATTCTGAAACCACAAATCAGTTGAGCAAAGCAGCCCTTTTGCTTTTTGGCGTAGCCAGATGGGATGGGATGCAGCAGTTTCTCCCTTTTAAAGACCCCTGAGGAATCCTTAAAAATGAAGAGTTTGTCATTATGCTGCTTCTGAGAATCAGATTTTGCAGCAATATTAATGGCTAAAGTAGTTATTTCTCCTCATGGTATTGTGTAATGGATTAGACATAAGCAGAGCAGCCGGCTGTGGTCTCCTGGTAGTGATTTCCAGACATGTTTCATATTCTGTTGCATTAGAAAGTGATTCAGAATCCTGAAGTGTTTGTGGCCATTCCTGTTAGGAGCTGTCCTTTCAAGTATAGCTCTTACACCTTGAAGATGAGTGAGAAGGAAGCCCTGAGCTACCATTCTACTTAATGGTTTCCATGGAGATACACTTGTGAAGCGGATTAATTTGCAGGATTGTTCATCTGGGAATTTTAAATGCAAATCCTTTGTGTAAAAGCTGGAACGTTACCTGTTTGCAATCATGGATCTTCTGTTGTAGCTTGCTTGACAAGCCATCCTGGTGCAAAAGCTCCACTGTTAGGGATTTTTTTTTTTTTTCCTTTTGCAGAAAAACACATAATGTCAGTGAATTACAAAAGCTGTTGATGTGCTAGTTTGACACTGCTCAGTGTCTTAGTGAAAGCCGGAGTCCTTTTCTTTAACATATCTCTCATCTTCACAGTCCTGATGCTGCTGATAGTACTTCTTTTGATGTCCAACTTGGAGACATTATTTTGACTGCAACAGACGGACTGTTTGACAACATGCCTGACTACATGATTCTGCAGGAGTTAAAAAAGCTGAAGGTAAGTGAGTGTATTCTAAATTTCTCATCTCTTGCACTAGTTGTCCCTTATAATTACTACCATTAATTTTATGCACATAACTTTTTATTTTGCATAAAAGACTCACCACACAGTGTTATTGTTTAGAGACTTCTCAGTTAATACCACGTGTGAGAAAGGGACAGTGACCCCAAAGTGCTGTCTCTTGGATCTGCACCCAGGCTGAATCCAGAAGCACCAGTTTGGGCATAAATTTCCCGAGTAGCAGCTGGTACCATGTCGGTAACTAATGACGGGAGGGCGAGGGGGAGATGTTCAGGAGCAGGCACTGCCCTTGGCCAGCTGCTCACACTGTATTTTAGCTGTACTTGCAGGTTGTAGATTATATACATGAAAATGCAGCATTCTCCCCTGCGATATTTGAGGGGGTGAGCTGTATACTTAAAAATAATTTGAAGCTTTTCTGAAGGGTTATAAAGCTGTAATTCCAAAGGAGTATGGGCTGTCTGAATTGTGGGTTGCGTGTGCTTGAAAATCTTTAATGTTATGTAAAAAAACCTTCCTGGCAACTTTTCCAGGTTAGTGACCGCAGATGGTCTTTGTAAATAGTAAAAATACATTGAAGTATTTTAATTTGGATGAGAACATTTAGCTTAAGGCTATTTACTTACAGAAAGGAAAGTATACTTAAGGAGATATCAATATGTATAACCTCCCCGAGGAAACTATTTTGTCATGAAATGCAAATAAAGTTAACATGTAGAATTATAGTGTGGTTTTAAAAAAAAAAAAAATTTTTGCCTGCTCTTGCCCTGCAGCTACATAAGCGAAAGGTGGTGTCAGTCAGAGAATGGGTCCTTACAGACAAATTGTCTGAGAGGCCTCCACATCGGGCGGAGGGTAAGGTTAGTCCGGGCGGAGGGTAAGGTTAGTCCGGGCGGAGGGTAAGGTTAGTCCGGGCGGCCGCTGGAGAGGGAATTTCCCTGTGGAAGAAAGTTGAGCTCCACCTTTTGGCGTGTTTGGGAAAGGCACTGAACTTCCCCGTGAGGTTCAGCCAGAAGTCAATCATGTAAATGCCCGCTAATTCCCCAAACTGCAGGGAAGACTCTTGAAATGACAAGGCATTTCAAAATAGTTACAAACCGAAAGATCTGTCGTGTTGGCTTGAGTAAGAAAAGCTTTGGAGTAAAGCAGCAGTTACTGAAACGGGGGGGAAAAAAAAAGGCATTTAAAATGTAGTCTATAGAAAGTCTGTGTGCTCCATACTTTTTTTTTTCTTATCTAACTTTTAAAGTGTCCGTGCACCCCAAGTGTGCTCTTGTTGATTTGGGTAAGAGGGTTGGGGCACAACTTCCCATTCAAGGTAACACACAATTTACTCAGCAGGGTGTAGTTTGTGAGGGAAGGGTGGTTCTTTTGGTGTGAACTGCCAGTGCAGCTGTCAGACATCCCCCCCTCCCTCGGGGGAGGAAGTTTAGTCTGTTCTGAGCATCAGTCTTGAAAGATTCTGAATGCTACAAATCCCTCCAGAACCAAGTCTTGTAGCTGCTGGTAGGGAAGCTCCAGAAGTCTGGACTTCAGTTGTGAAGATTTGCACTTCTAACCCAAATTAATAAAGCTTAGGAGCTGGTGAGGGTTCGGTTTGGAAGAGAAGCTGATAACCAATGCCCTGATCTGAGACACACCCGGCAGTCAGGGATCTCTAAAACTGCCACACGTCAGCAAAACAACTACCAGTGGACTTTCTCATACAAATAAACTTTTTTTTTTCCTCGTTAATTTAGAACTCCAACTATGAGAGTATACAGCAGACTGCAAGAAGCATTGCTGAGCAAGCTCACGAGCTGGCTTATGATCCCACTTACATGTCGCCATTCGCACAGTTTGCATGTGACAATGGATTGAATGTGAGAGGTAAGTTGCTTTTGGGTGGTGGGTTGTGTGTTTTTTTTTCCCTCTCCTCCTCCCACTCCTACTATCTTTGAGAAATCTTAAGCAAAGTGAAGTTCTGTTGTTCAAAAGCTGACAGGAAAACAGAGCCTTGAGAAATGTGGTTGGCAGCGGAGCGCCAATCTAGCACGTGGGGTTTGGCAAGGCCCCAGCTCCTGAGGCGGGTCATCCCGGGGCCTGGCTGATCAGAAACCTCCTGTGGGGAAGCAGCTGGAACGCAGGGAACGCCGTGCACTGATTCTTTTTTTTTTTTTTTTTTTTTTTTTTTTTTGAGGTCTTATATCATTGATACTTTTTAGCCAGGATTCTGCCCACTCTTTGGTGGTTTGGTTTTTTTGGTTCCGATTTCTGACCCTTGCACCATTAGCATCGCTGTCCCGATCTCTTTGGTGGTTTTGCTTCCTAAGCTCTGGGAAGTCACTAACACCTGGTGGAGTTCAGAGTCCTATCAAACACCTTTTAAATATTTAATTCTGTACTAAGGATGTTCTCATTATCTCCATATCAGGAGGGCAGGATTACCTGTGACACCCTCAGGTGTCTTTCCTAAGGGTCTAGAGAACAGCCCTAAAGGTCAGGCTCCGTGTTGCTGTAAAGCTCAATCACTCAGTAAGGAAACTGCAATCTCCTGAGTCCATAAGAACAAAACACCTCTGAGACATTGCTCTGGGATTTGAGTGTATTGCTCTAGCTGTTGAGGCTTGAAAAGTGACTGCTAAAAATGTGAAGTAGCTTTTAGAAAAATAAGTGGTAATGCAGTGTTGAAAAAGATGAAGAGGTGTTTGATTTACAGGAGAAATCCCTGAAAAGATACTGATGTTACTGCAGTTTGCTTGTAACAAAACGTCGGGGTTTTTGTACATTTATTAAAAAAACGGGCAGTGTCCAGGGTTCTGTATTCCTTTTAACAGCTGGACCTCCCCTGTAGGTTAGGGTGCTGGTTTGCTGTGTCCGTGTTTTGGAAAGGAGGTGAAGGACACAGAGTTTTTGTGTCGACACAAAACAGCTTTTGACTACTGAAACTACTTTTTTTTTTTAAAGAGCTTGCCGTGGGGGAGCGTCACAGATTATAAGATGACGACCCACCGTGGTTTGATGGAATTTTTCTTGCATTACAGGGGGAAAACCAGACGACATCACCGTCCTTCTTTCTATTGTAGCCGAGTACACAGACTGATGTGCCCGTTGCTCCCAGCTTCACACGTACGGTTTCCTGCTGGCAGGATTGCTTTATTCCTTTGCAACTGATCTCCGCAGCCGGTTCTCGAGCTCGTTGCCTGTCTTGAGACACAACTGAAGTCCTTGTTAAGAACCACTCTTGTAGTACACTGGTCTTTGTCTGCCAGCAAGAAATGAAGAAGCTCAAGGCTTGAAGCATGTCTTTCAGAGCTTAGTCATCGCCCTTAAAGGGGGAGGATCAATCCCACATCCTTACTGCGTTTGAAATGTGACTTACTTTCAAAGGAGTAGAATTGGGTTTCACATCTTTCAAACTAGATTCGATAGCTAAAACCTCTCCAAGAGGGCATATTACTCTATTTACTAGAAACGTTCACTATTCATTAAAGGGTATGTTACAGAACACAGTTTCATAAGCATAGTCTTGTTACAGTGATAGCTGAGGTTTCGTGTTTCTAAGCTCCAGTTTTCAGGAGGTTTATAACTGCTGTAAACATTCTGCTCTTGCCATACATGGTGTCAGCCTAGGAGCCTTTTCTAGTACGAAATTTCAAAAACCATACTTAGTTCAAGTTATATGGATGCAAATGTGTTTTGTGATTTCAGGTGCTTAACTGTGATCTTAAAAAGTTCTGCAGATCATTCGTCCATAATGGGCCTGGTATCTGGATGTTTTGGCTGTGGATAATTTTTTTTTTTTTTTTCTTTTTTAAAACAACAAAAAATTTTAACTCAGTCTCAAAAAGTCGAGCTGGCCAAAGTTGAGGTCCCTTCAGCATTTTAACCCATCTCACCAGCATGGGATGATGCAGCAGGAATGCTACGGTGGGAGGTTGCACAAAAACCAGATCATCCTCAGCTCTGAACATCTTCACTTTTGGTAGATAATTGTGTTGTTAATGAAACGTAATTTGTGTTACTAATTGCCATTCTCGCTTGTGTAGAACAGAATGTGCTGCACCAGTTGAAGTCCAGTTGATCCTTATCTTTGACTCTCCAACAAGCACCTCTTTGCTTATGCTGTGGCAGCAGCAGTAAGTACGTCAAAGGAAACTATTAATGAATAATCAGCAAAACTTAACATTTCAGTAACTAAAGTTTAGGGTTTTCGGAATGAACCTTAATGATGTTTACAGTTATCTAACAGCCACTTTGCAATATTACATTTCCTTTTGAATTACAGTAGCTCACATATGTTCCCCCCGTTCCAGCAAGCTTTTCCTTTTTCTTTCCTGAGGTTCATGCAAAAAGCTGATAGCTGTAAGATATATATATTTTTGGTCAGTTTTTCATTAACTTTTTTTCTGGTAGAAAAGTATGTAGAAATAAATTAAAGCCATGTTTTTATATATAAAAAGTCGGGTAATGTTGCTGTTTAGGTGAGTGCAGTTAAACTTGGTCAGTAAGTAATCTTACCTACTCTCAAAAGGAGATTTTTACTACCTGGTTTATTGTATTAAAACTGTTTAAGTTTGAGGTTACCTCAACCTGTTTAAAGAATTTTTGTGGACTTGTACTGTATATTTGCGTAACTATGTCAAGCTTTTATTTAAGGTCATTTAACATGTACCATGTACATGTCATTTTACTATATTTCAATGCATCATGCTTGTAACAGGCATTTCATTTATAATAATTAAGTGATTAATTTGGAAGCTCTTCAGTAATTTATCTGCTATTCCTAAATTGGCATAATGTTAGCTATCTATTTTAAATCACCTTGTAATTACTTGTCAAAATGCCTTAACTACCCTAACTTGACCAAAATACTATTTTGGTGAGGGTACGGGGAGGATTATATTAATGAAGAAAAATTAATTAGTTTTGCGATCTGTGGAACAGTGAGTGGTGGATAACTTTGCACAAATTGTCAGTCCTTGTTGTTTTTTAAGGCCGAACAAGCTGTACCTAGCTGTCTCGTTAGAAGGAATGTATTCACGCTGCAGTACAGGGCTTTGTTTCTTGCGTTTGGGAGGGGCGTTTCTCTCTCAAATTTGGGTGTCTTTTACACTTTATTCTCCAGTATTTACTATCACGCTTCTTGATTAGAGCAGATTTGATCAATTATTCTTTCCCTTGACCTTACCTTAGAGCGCTGCCCCCGCAGACCCCGGGCTGTGTTGCACTCTGACCCCTCGCGCTCAGCACGCTCGTCCCCAGCCCTCGTTGTCCCAACCCCGGAACTTTCCAGAACTCTGGGAGTTCTGGGAGACGCACACGGATCTGATGGCGGGGGGCGGCCACGGGGCCTTCCCCCACTGGGAATGCCGCTGCTGGGCCAGGCTCTGGCCTCCCCCAGCCTCACGCTCCCAGCTGAGCCGTGTCTACAAAGCCATTTGCCTCATATCACATCCTGATTTTTTTTTCTTTTTTAAATAAAGAACAAATTTGGATTTGGATTTACAAGTCATGAGTTTATCCCTCACCGGACACACCAAAGACCAGTAAAGCTTATAGCTTTTCCATCTGTTTATAAAGCAATACTGTATTATAAGGAATTGATATTTTTATCACATGCTTGTTTTTGTTTTTTGATTATTTTTTTTTTAAGATGTGCACTCTAAACATATCAAACCTAATTTCTTCCTATGAACTTAAGCTGTCTGCGCACAAAAAAAAAATTTTTTTGGAAAAGGAAATGACAGGGCCCATCCTATCAGAATAATTTTAAACGATGCATGAAGCAGTAACACTTTCTAGGAATTAGATAATTGTGAGTATTCACGGGAGGAAGGGAGGAGAAGGGTGTTCCACGAAGCGAAGGTGCGCGCGAGCGGAGCACAGGCTGACCTGGGGCTGCTGCAGAGGGGGCTGGGAGCAGCCAGTGGAAGGAAAAGGAAGAGGTTTAGACACCAGTGACCACGGAATGTCCCAGGAGGGGCAGGAGCTGGGAGTTCTGCAGCAGCGTTACTCAGTATTTGGGTAAAACAGGGCTAAGATGGGGTGAATTGGAAAAACTGTGGTTTCTTGCTACTTTTCTGGCTATCTTTGGGTGACCTGCTACCTACAGTTTCCCTCTAAACGTACTTCTTCGTGTTTATGAAGAAGGTGTGGCTGAACAAAAACCAAACCAAAAATAAACCAGATTTTTGGGACCAGACAGGACTGAGTCAAGGGGAAGGGAGAGGCCAAGGTCTGGCAAGGGGATGAAGGATTTTGTGATGGAACCTCCATCTCTGGGTCACGGGCATCCTTTTTCCAGGGGGGGGAAAAAAAAAACAGATTGTGTGTGCAGAAATGGACTGTATGAAGTAGTTTTTTCCAAAGATAGCTGAAATGATGAAGCAAATCTGAGTCTGTATCTAATGAGGATGCTTTTTTGTTTGTTGTTAAAATGAGACTATCATCTATGCTTACCGAAGAGGCGATTATGTGAATTTCATGTCTGAGGTATAACTTATGCAGGAATAGTTCTGTAAATACATTTAAATGAATTGTAAAGATATTTAATAAATATAGTATTTATACTAAAAATGTGGGTTTTAAAGTTGACTGCAAAAACTCTTGGTGGTGGGTGGAGAGCTGCAGCCACCCAGCCCCTTGTTCAGACCTTCATAGTGTGTTCTCAAGCCCTGTTTGAGGGTGAAAACCAACTGTGAGAGGTCTTTTAATTGACCCAAGGCTGGGAATTTCAGTATTTTGTTCCAGTGTGAGTTTGGCAACACCGTGGTTTGCCAAACCAGTGTGAGTTTGGCAACACCATGCTGTCACTGACTTGGGGTGGAAGAGGCAGGGGGAGGGAGGAGAACAGCACCCATCTGAAACTCACGTTGTCAAATGTGACTTTTATTTTTTTTAAATGCATTTCTATGACAACTTTGGCTACTCGGTTAAACATTCATTCCGCACTGTTTCTGTAAAAATACCAGCTCTTCTCTAGCAGTGCTGTGTTTGGCTGTGGCGGAGTGGATGGATTTATTATTCCAGCACTTGTAACTTTACAACAGCAGCTCCCTGTGCCTGACGTGGTACCACAGTTTGAATTCTCTGGTGAAACTGCACTGGAGAGCATGTCCATAACGCACAAAATCTGGTCAGTCGTGACCAAAATTTATCTTGTGTTACGGCAGCAGCTGACTGTTAGTCACCTGGGTGCTGGTGGTTGAGTAGTGAATAAACACTTAACTGGTATGGGCAGAGCAGGAAGGGATAAAGCTTTCAGTACTGAGTCAAGTTTCACCCTTAAATCTTGCAAAAAAAGAACCAGGTGCCAGCCGGGCCGGATTCCCCCTTCCTGGGTGCCGTGAACGGGGATTTGTGAAACGCAGGTCACCATACAAGCCCAGAGTACAAACAGTTTCCCTCGAGTTCTAACTTGCCACAGAACTGCAACTAAATCTTTCTGAAACTAGAAACAGCTCTGCCGTTACCACGTCAATGGTGCTTTTCTCTCTGGGTGATCCCCAAGAGCTTTACTTCGTGGCACTAGAGAACCTGGGAGCTCTGCACAGCACCAAAATCCTCTTCAGTGTCACTAGCTGTGGCTAAACTGTGGAAGGTGTGACTGACGGCATCCCTCTCCTTACAAGAAACTGCTCCAAAAAAGAAGGAGTGAAACTGGAAAATGCAATATTTATAGAAGTGAGAAACTGCATGTGATACAGAATGTGGGGGTTAATTATTCCTGCAGCTTTTGCCACTTTAAAAATCTTGATCACTCTACAGCTTTCCCTAGTAAAACACACCTGCCCTCTGCAAATATTTCCAGCATTACGGTTAAACACACCGTAGTGGTGGTTTCTGTCAGCTCTGCCGCTCTGAAAGCTGCTCCTGCAGAAAACTGAGCCCTGACGTGCAGACGTTCCCCCCTGCCCCACCATGAAGCATCCCGCTGCACCGGGGACACAGGGAGTCTCCTCACCTGCTGAGACCGCATCGCCTCTGCCCCCAGCGCCGCGGGGCCCTCGGTGGGGGCTGGGCCCTCTGCGCTCGCCTTCTCTCTCTTTGCAGCTCCGGGAGTATTTTTACTCTCTTGTTTCACCAGAGGACTCGCAGGATTCGCTGCCCTGGTGTTCAGTGCGTTGCCATTCCGCTGTGGCTTTTGGGAGCCATGCGCTGCTACGTGGCTCTTTTTACCCACGGGGGTCTTCTCCGGTTTACCTGGACACGTCTTTGATCTGGATTGGAGAGAGGTCAGGTTAGTAACTGGCTTTTATGTGGTTTTGTTAGAATATCTTCATTTTCTGTTCATGAAAAGCATTATGGCTTTAGAATGGCTCCTCAACAACTACCTTCCCTTCCCCTCTTACTCTGACAGAACCCCGTGCAGATAAAGGAAAGCAGACATGAGCGCCAAGTCTTCTCTTGCACTGAGGTTTATTGCTGCACGTGACCCTGAGCTGTCACAGAATCCCAGAACCATCTGGGTTGGAAAAGCCCCTGCAGCTCCTCCAGCCCCACCATGACCCTCCCCCTCACCATTCCCAACTCCCCCAGACCCCTCAGCGCTGGCTCAGCCCGACTCTTCAACCCCTCCAGGGATCCCGGGGACTCCCCCCTGCCCTGGGCAGCCCATTCCAACGCCCAACAGCCCCTTCTGCACAGAAATCCTTCCTCAGAGCCAGCCTGACCCTGCCCTGGTGCAACCCACACTATTCCTATGCCCAAAGACCAGGATCCGTATAACTTACCACCCCCCTGCAAGGAGCAGCAGATCCCTTCCATCTTGAACGTGACTTGACCAGAAAATGTTAAGACTTCATTTTTTCACCCTCCCAAGGCAGTCTGCCTCCCTCACCGTTACCTTTCCAGCTGCTGTGAGAAGCAGGCAGGCCGCAGGGCAGCCGTCTCCTCTCCAACCTCACACAAGGTTGCCAAAATAAAGCTGGCTTCTAGTACCCTGTCTTCCATGCTGAAAGCAATTGGTCTAGAGACAAATATTCAGAGACTAAAACCATGCGTAACTCCACATACTGTAGGAGGAAATACAGCCCACGCAATTCTATACGCACATTAAAAAAATGCCTCCCCTGAAAAGTTGAAAATCTAATATATTTGCCACTTCCTGTCACAGGTTTAAATGCCCCAATGAGCAGATATTATACTTAGTCAAGTGATAGTTTTAAATATGTAACTGTTAAAATTATATTTTGAATAGAAAATGTATTGTTTCTTTAGACTACTAAATGAAACAATTGTGTGCATTAGACTGAGAACCTGAGGTGTCCAGGGAACTTGCAGGTGCTCATTAGCCATGAATATGGATGCTCCTGTTAAATACTTGATGCATAATAGCAAACTACTTAACCCTGTACTGCGGATCAGAAATAATAGCTTTTGGTGCAAAACGAAAAATCTATTTTACTGTTTCAGTTCAATATTCCCTGAGTAACCCGCAGACAAAAAAAACGACCGTGGAGTTGTAACTGCTGTAGTTCTAGACAGGCTCGAAAACATACTTTCCAGAGATGTCAAAATGGATAGAGAGAGGAGCACTGGTGGCTTCTGAGAATACTAGCAGTCCCTGGAAAGAAGGGAGCGGTGGTTAAGCACTACTTTAAAAACAGATCAATATCAGAATATAAGTTTATCCCAGCTGTTGTTTACTGGCACGAAGAGGGTGAAAGTCTCCTGCTTCTAAAATGTGTTTCTTGGGAGGCCCCGACACTTTCTGTGTCTGCCCAGCACCAGAACCACAGTTCTGTTGGTTTAAAAATGCTTCGCTTGCCTTGCAAAGGCTCCTGTGAGGGACCCCGCAGCGACCCAGAGATCCTGATAAGCAGCTGGTGAGATGCTGCCACCCGTCAGGAGGCCTGGTGGAACACTTCCCAGGGCCCTTCCGCATTGTCCTGGTCAAGTCAGGTGAGTTTCAAGACAAATTCTTACTTTACCCTCAATTCTTTAAGGCAAAACGTCACTTCAGAATCTACTCCAACTTGAAAGTAGTCAAATTCATCCGGACTTAGTTGTATTTCAGTAAGCATTGTCCTTGAAAAATCTGTTTAAATAATAAGTCGAGGACTCAAAGGAGGGAAGTTTGAACTCAACAAAAGTACGATTACAACTATGAGGTTTTTACATCAGCATTGTTGGAACAAATAATTGTATTTTTATAGTGACTAACATTAGTAAATGTTTAGCTTATCTACATTTATTTCAAAATTAAATCCTCGATTTATTTACAGTATATTATGTATATTTAAATGGCTTTTAACAGAGCCCAGAATCCATTTTATCTTCGACTCTGTGATCAAACCTGACACCCGCTGTCGTTCTCACCAACCTGCTCTGTCCATAAATAGTCTTACTGACTGCTTGTTGCATAGATGGGAAGACCAAACCACCACATGTCTTTGACAGATTAATCATTAATTGCTGACAATCATCAGAGGACAATGAAGGTGGATTTAGGTTCTTTGTTACAAATTACGATCTTTTCCTGATCCATAAGTGGCAACAGGAAATTGGCTCTTCTGTTTCAGGTATTCGATTGTTGCTTGTTCTCATTGCATTAGTCTATCCATGTCAGTAGGTGTGAGAGTAGAACAGGCTCAGAGGCATCCAGAAATTCAACTACACACCTATCCAATTCTCTTCTGAAGCCAGGCTGCTAACAAACCATTAGAAGCTGTGCCCAGTCTTCCATTTCTCTGCTCAAGAGGTTGTTTTTCTCTCAGCCTTCAACAAGTCCCCATTACCTGTTCAAATATACTCTTGGAAAGTGCCTTAAAACAGCAGAAATAAATACAACATATCTGCCAGCTGCTGCGAGGCAGAGCCTCCCGCATGCAAATGAGAACAAGCCTAGGCAGAAGATGTCATTTCTTTCTTTGAAAATTAAACCTGAATGTGGAAAAACCCAAGCCCATGCCAGATGATACCTTCAAAGGCCAGGTTTTGTTTCAGTGCGTGTGGAACATTTGCTGCAGGCAGTGTATTGCATCAGTGCTATGCAAGAACAATGCTAATTCCTCTTTTTGCTCCTTGACTCTTTGGCTTTTGGCACCTCATTAAATTTTTACCTACTATTCTTTTCACTTTCTTTCTTACAATAACCCTTGTAAATGCATGGTGCTAAACCATCAAAAGTTGTCATTCGGCATACACTCTTTTTAGTGTCTTTTTATTTTCAGTCATTTCTTCCCTGCTTCACTCCAGCCAGTTTCCACCACTGAATCCTCCTTGCTCTGCACCTCTTTAGCCTGTTCTGGGCACAATCCCCACCCCACCGCTCTAGGCCATCATCTTCCTCTAGGTCATTATCCTCGTAAGCAAGTATGAAAAGCATCCCTTTATTATATGATATACAAGAACCTATACTTCAAAACCACAATTATATCTTTAAAATTAGTTCGAGTCACACCCCAGGAATCTAGATTGTTCTCCATCAGATGGAGGAGAGCTGAACATGGCAGCACAGCAGAACAGCATTAGGCCAGCTAACACGCTGTATTGCCCTTGCACTAAAATATACTCTGTAATGATATCAATTCTATAATTATGGTGTTCAGATTTAAATCATTCTTTTTAAAACATAAAATTATCTCCTTTTTCCTGACTGTTGCCATGCTTCTGCTCTTGCAGCACAGTAATTACCTCTGTTCAAGCCTACAGCAAGTGGCATAATTTATTTCAGTTGGCTGCTCAGTCTGATATCTGCCACTGATACCAGGAAAATGGTAATAAAAGACATACTTTTTAAAAAGATATTAAAACCAGAGGGTGGCAGCATGACTTAAAATCTCTCTCTATATGTTCCCTCTCTTAAAAATCCCATTCAGCCATAAAATGCATTCTCCGTTTACACTGCAATAATTATTCCTTTAGTTCACCTGTTTTGAAGTCCCAATATGATTTCGTATTTTGAATTTCCTTACCAGTGTTGTCTTCAGTGTAACTCTTGAAACAAACTTTCATCGGAGAAACTGATAAGGTTACTTCTTCTTGACTGGTCGGAAAGTGAATCATTGTATCAGCCAGCAGCCTATAAAATTTAATTCAACATTAAAATAATTTTACCTGCCACAAATTTATTACTAGCCAGTATTTGTTACTCACATTAGAAATTAAAATTATTTGGCAATACTGTTGGAAAACCTGCCTTTGAAATGTGTACCCCTTAAACTCTGCTGATTCTTTTAAATTGATTTATATGCAAAAGGTACATAAGAAATCTAACAGTACAACTGCTAATTATGAAAGCAAATTTGTTTAATGCTTTTGTATGTTGCCAAGTTGATCTTATATATATATATATATATATCTGCTGCCTTTCTATATGTATCACAACTTTGAGCAAACCTGGGTGTCCTATACTCTCTATTCAAAAGCTTGCAGTCTTAAAAGTTGCATAATCTTTTTATAAATATAATACACAGTACCTATGCAGAGATATCTTTATACACCTTTAATGGCTGATTATTGTGACAAGAGCTCCTGGGCACAAGAAACACTTTTAACAGAAATGCTGTCAGGAAGAGCAGAGTCTGTTCTTTGCCTTTGCTTGCAATGACAAGCCAAAACGTGGATTCCTCCAAAGGGCTGTTTTTATTGCTAGAGAAAATTGTATTTTTACCACTGGATTCTCTGCCTATAAAATTAAATTTTAAAATTTGTCACAGGTGGAAGCTGCTCAAAGGTATGAACTCAAATCATCCATTAATACATTTCTCAAGGTGACCGAGTAGGATTAAGGGCAAAATGATTCAAATTTCTTAAGTTGTGATGTGAAAAATCAAGCACTAGGAAACAGGATTTAAGAATTTGTCATTTTTCACTGTGCCCTAATCAGATTTTGATTATGCTAATCACTATGAGAGCAGTATTGCCTCCTGTATGATTTTTTTTTTTTTCAGAAAAAAATTTTTTGTATTCATTACCTGGAGTGGACTTTAAGTATGTTTGGACACATGTGCTTAGCAAAAACAGCCTGCAACGGATCACACTCTTGAAACATCAGATTATAGGTTTTTATAACACCTAAGTATAAAGGATATGGACAAAAAAAAAATCAATGTTGGTCTGTAATTTTTAAATGGTGTTTTTTTTCAGTATTAATTGTTCTTTTAGGAAATCTGCATAGAGAAAGTAACAAAACAACTCACTCTAGCTATGTGGAAATAACTCACCCACAGATAGAAGACTTAATTAACCTGCCAACTAAGACTTCCTTCATCCTATTAGTTCTGCCCCTCCAGCATCTGAGTTTTTTAAGAATCCACCAGAAATAGTGAACAACTGCAACAAATGCAGGGGGGAAAAAAGGCTTTGATATTTAAATGGTGGCGGAATACAAAAGGCAAACCCTACAGATCTCCATGTATTTCTAGATAAGCATGAGCTATGAGAGCTTAATTGTCTTGAGACCTAATTCAGTGTATTATCTCATTATTAGTAATACAAGCTAGATTTTTAATAATACAAACCACTGCCTATTCCCCAGCCCAGCAAGCTGTGCTGACAGATGACGGTTCTTCATGAGTTTTGCAAAGTCTAATGCTGATGAATGTACCTGGTGTTCTGTGGGACTGGGGATGTCAGGCCTGTTACCGTGAAGAACTGTATTAGAAGTGGAAAGACCCAGTAAACCCTCTAGTTCAAACACCTGCCAAAACAGGATTTCCCTCCTTTTCCATCACATGTGTTTCTTCAGAATTTACTCCAGCCTAACTCTAAATGTTGTGAGCAGCAGACTAACAAGATTAATATACAGCATGCAGTAACTACTGCAGTGAAGAATGTCTGTCTGTTAAAGCCTGTTACAACTTCATTTTAACAAGGTGATGCACGTGATAAACAGAAATTACGATGTGAGGAGGCTGAAAGTGTTTGGCATAACATTCCATCAGTAACATTCAATTAATAATTACACTAAATATTGCGTTGCCCTGCTGTTTTAAACGACTTCTCTTTCTCCAAGTCACTTTATGTATAACCTACCATGTTTGCAGAAGAGCTTGAAAGTTATGTGATGATCATTAATATTTGTATAAATGCTGCATTTCTCTACATTTCTTTCCAGCACGTTTACACATCTAAATACAGGAAGAACTGACTGTTTAAAAAAAAAAAATAAATTATCAGTGCAGAGGTCATTCACCAAGCAATTTTGCAGTATTATTTCCCTAGTTTTGTACAGTTTTATCTCAAGCTTCTGCTTTTATGGCTTCCCCAAACTGCTTTCTAAGCTGACACTGTGGCAGCTGATACGGATCCTCGCCATCCTCACCAACTATTCCAACACATGGTCAACGTGGTCTGTTTGCTAAACAACTGGCCAAAGCTCTGCTGGGTCATACTGGTTTTGAAGTTACAACAGAAACACTTCAGAGGCAGAAACGTGGTAATCCTTCACCCCAAGATTAAGCCGGTTCAGACTTTGGGAAGGGTACAGCTCAGGAGGTACAACTTCTAAACTTAATTAATACTAACGCTCCCTTTTGCAGAATTGCTCAGAAGTGCTTGAGTTTAGAGCCATCCACGTGCCTCTACCAGCCTTCCCCTATAATTTCATTTGGAAATTGAGCTAATTTGCTGCTTACAAAGCTGTGCATAACAATCCATTAAAATGTACCTTAATTATCAATTTACATGGGAGGGATAACTGTTTTTCCTTCTGACGTGGTTGAGACACAGCCGTCCAGCAGTAATGTTGAAAAAACATAGACGAGAAGAAGACATATGCATATGCTGACCTTGAAGAATTCACTGATCTTAAGGCAAGCTGAAAGCATAAGTAAAACAATTTAACTCAAAACTATTTCATATCGAACCTTTAACAAAAAAGCCATCTCTCTGCTTCGAGTACCACACCTAAACCACGAAACCTTTAAATGTGTATGTCTCAAAATAAATATAGATGCATTATGCACACAATCATGTCCAGATTCACCACCTTCACTATAATTGGTATCATACAGGCATAAAAATCCAATCTATGGACATTTAAGTGGCCCTGAAGTGCAGGTTACCTAAACACTTAAAGCTCAGCTTGCATTTGAAGGACTGGATTTATTCTAAAACAACCTTTCTGTACACCCATCCACGTGACACCTACAAATGAGCAAAGACACTACTAGCAACCTCAGTAATTCTTCAGGTATGAGAAGAAATTATCTCCACTTCTAATTTTCCAGCCTCCCACCAAGTTAAGGAGAGTTGATCACTTTTAACTAAGAAACCTCTAGAGAAAAGCCTAATTTTGCTGGAAATGGTATTTGATTAATCAGAGGCATATTAATGGATGCATTCTTCCTGTTGAGTCATACTGGTACAAAAACATGTTGTTTAGAGGCAGTTTCTGACGTGGTACAAAACATAAACCTTTAGACCCATGACAATAGAAATAAAACCCTTGGTATTAATCCGGATGTCCTGGACAAGCTTCAGCTTGGCTAACAAAAAAATGAAGAATACTAGGGGCAGAGCAGGAATGAATCTTCCATGATGTAATCTGCATAATTACAATTACAGAAAATATGGCATTTGTCCATATTGAAAGTGGAGGAAGCTGAGAGAACGTAACCCGCTGAAGGGCACCTGTAGGAAAACATCACAATATCCAACAATACTATGATTCCAAAAAATATTTTCAAATTAAAACAAAACAAAGTCACTTACACCTTTTTCTATGGGGTCAAACCAAAATTCATCACTAATACGTGCTATGGCATGTATTGCTCTTCCAAACACTAGCAGGAAAAGAAAACAGGGCAATATGTATTGTAAGTTAAAAAAATATGCTGCATTTTCTCCAGAATAATTTAAGAGGAAACATTAATAATTTCCTAGACGTTTCAGTGACATGGTGGAAAACATTGGTCTTTCCTTTTTAGTAGCACAAACACCTCGACGTTTCTGAAAGCTGCCTCTGACAAGGTGCACCTCAAATGTCGTCTGTCCCTCTGCAGCAACTGGCATGACCCGATGTCACCACACATTAATTCAATCTCCTTGGACAAACCACTATAGTTAGAAATTACATTTTGTAGATGGCAGCAGGTTTAAGCAAGCAGTAAACAGCTGGACATCTGTAAAGATGTAACTGTAAGAAACACAGAAAAAAAAACAGCAGTGGGTCTCAAAATTTCCCTCTGCCCACCGTGGCACTGGCAGAGCACCAGTTCACGTGACACGCTGTGCACTGGTTTAGTTGGGTCTCTGGTAGAACAGTGTGCACAGGAAGGAACCAATCTAAGCAACGGCTTCTCAACCTGGAAGTACCACAAATCCAGCCCTCTGCTCTCTCATTTGAGTCCAGAGGCTCCACGCTGAGCCCACAAAACTCTGAACTCTATCAGAGGCTGCGCGTGGCCCCACAAAAACACCTTTGTCCTCCTGGGGAAGAGGAAGGGGCAGCTCTGCTTGCTGTGACCATGGCGGCTCTGGCCACAGCTCCCAGTGCTTCGTGCCCCACTTCTCATCGCCCTAAAGCTCCCCCAGGGAAGCCCGCCGAGGGCAACACCAGGCCTGTCACACACCCCCACGGCTGCCGGGCCTGCTGAGCTCTGCCGCCCTAAGGCGGCCCGGCTCTGGGCTGCCTGTTTCTCCCCCAGACAACCCTTCTGCGCCAGCCTTGCTGCCTCCCCCGGGGCCACGGGTACCTCTGAGATGGGCCCCCCCAATGACACACTTCATGGCCACCCGGCTCGCCTCACACGGCGGCTGCGGAAAAGGCGGGAAACACCCCTCGGGGCGGGGCGGGGCGCTCCGCAGAGACCCGGATGTGGGCGCGGGGCGGGGCGGAGAAGCGCGTTTCGGGCTTTTTTAGCCCTTCGGAGGCGCCGTAGCGGGTGGTTGGCGC